AATATGAAGCCTATCTTTTAGAAGCAGAAACAATAGACCAAAGATAAGTTGACCAGCATCATGACCACATCCCCAAAGAGCTCCAACTGCAGCACTCTCCATTCTCGTCCGTCCAATCGAAAGTGGAGCCAAAGCAGCAAGATGATCAGGTCCAGATAATGTGTGTAAGCAACCAGCAAAGAAACCAGTCCAAGCACTTGTCAGTACTTCAGTCCTGAGGAGCTTTCCGCCAACAGCAGCTCCACCAGAATTAGTTGCCGTTTGAAAGCTAGCGAAAGCAGGCGGCGTAAGAATGGGATTAAGCAAAAGCGCAGCTACAGCGGAGACTAATATAACCATTCCAGCCGGAATGGTCTACAAGAAACACAAAATTGCACAGATCAGATATAGAACAGTTAATCTGAAGGTAAAGTACACAAAGATAGTTACTTGATCAAGAAACCCTAAACTACTACTAGTGAATCCAATGGTTCTTGAAACCTATAAACATCGAAGCTCTTCTTCGTTTCATGTTATCTTCTCCACAAAACCCAAATCCAGTAACTAAAACCAAAATCGTCTAAGCTAAAGATTTAACAAACATCAATATAACCAATACACAGACGTAAATGCAGAAGAGTCATGGTCGTGAATTACCTTGCGTTGCTCAAAACTGCTCACGATCCGTTGGATAAATCCTGGATTAGGTTTCGATCCATCGGTTTGAGAAGAAGCAATCAAGAAATTACTACTCTGATTCAATCCTGGAGATGAATCCGGCGATGGATTCTGGCGGAAGAAGCAGGAAATGGAGCTGATTCGGCGTGACTCGAGACGGTGAGAGGAGGTAAAGCTAATACTCGGCGAGTGGAGACGGTGGAGTAACGGAGATGGTCTTGATTGTGGTTTGGAGGGAGCAATAGTGCGAGAAGACGGTGGTTGCAAAAGCCTATCCATGGCGGCGTCTACTTCTCTTTAGTCCGGTAAGCTCTCGGAGCTTTGCTTAGAGAACTAAGGGCAGAGAGTGAGAGACTCTGCTCTCAATCGGTGAGGATAAAATTTTTCTAATAATATATATTTTTTTGTTGCTTCCTTATCAGTCAATAAAGTATTAAGGCCTCGAATGGTTCAATGGTAAGCTCATACCAACATTTTAGTATAGAGATATGCATCATATTTTGGTATGCACTAAACAACGGTATGCACTAAAGCATAAAATAGTATGCTCTAGAATTTATCACTTGAATGGTTAAAAGCGTATTATAGTATACGATAGTGTTTACAAAAAAACAAAATAAATTTTAACAATTTTCTAATAATAATTAATAACATGTCTTTATAATAAACACTACAAAATATTTTTTAAAATTATAAATCAAAATCTATTATTTTAATTTTCCCATAACATATCGATAATACTTTTTCGGATATTTGCCATATATTTTTAAAATATATGTTTTCATTCCTTGTTCGACCTCGTGATAACATATCTATAATTACAAAAAAAAAAAAAAAAAAAAAAAACAAGTTAGCTAATAAATATGATGATCACATATGTGTAATCAATTCCATCACTCCAAACTAGAGAATTATACAACAAAATTTTTTAAAATACCTTTTCAAACTTCATAGTTCAAAAGAAATCCCACTAATTCTCAATATCTTCTATAAACTAAAGAATATTACAAAAAAGATCTAACAATATCCTTTCAGACTTCACTAATAACTCTCAAATATCTACTATAAACTAAAGATTTATACAACAAAATACTAAAAATACCTTTTCAAATACTAAATCTAAAAATGTTTTCAAACTTCACAACTTCAAAAAACATTCCACTAATTCTCAAATATCTACTATAAACTAAACTATAAAAGTTTGAGATGAGGAATTGAACTTACTTATGAATTTGAGATGAAACAAATGATTGATTCAAAGCAAAAAAAAAAGAGTCACTTTCAAGAATTTAAGAGAGTTCTCTCTTCTCTCTCTTTTTTTTTTTTTGGAATAAATGATTGTTTTTGTGAGTTTTTACAATTGTGAATGATCATATATATAAATATTTTTGAAAAGTACAAAGAAACACAAGTTTAACCAATGAGAAGAAAGTACTCGGATCCAACTAGTTAAAAAAAACACACTTTGGTCTTATTTTTACTATTGGTATGAAGTTGGTATGGAGCTTGGAAGGAGTAAACCAAAAAGTAATAGAATTGACATGATATGGAGTTTTCTTTGAAGTGCATACTAGTATGGAGTTTATTAGTCCGAAATATTGCATACTAGTCCGATTTGTTGAATGGTAAATTTAGTGCGGACTAGTCCGACTTTAGTCCGGTCCGCACCATACCCACCAACCATTCAAGGTCTAAATCAATTATAGGAAATAGAAATGAACTAAAGTAAATGTTGATCATGACAGTCAAGACTCAAGACTTCGCCTTTTTTCTCTTTTCTAGGCACTCTAAAATCTCGCACATCATGTACCACAAAACAAAAGTAATCTATGTAATATATGTTTCTTTGATTTGGAAAGAGATTGGATTGCAACATATTAGAATCAATATTATTTAAAAATTATATAATTTTATAAATATGTTAACATTTATATTAGATAATTTAAAAATTACTATAACATAAATATAAATAGTGATTTATATTATGTATTATGCATAATAAATCTATTCAAAATAATTAAAATATGGGAAATTGTTAAAAATACCCCTTTTGGTGTGCCCCTTTTCAAAAATGTCCCTTTTAGATGTCTATTTTCAAAAATGCCATTTTTTAAATCTGAATTTTTTATAAAGTTTTATTAGGTTTATAAGGTACTTATGGATTGTAACTACTACTTGAAGACTCGATCTAAGTATTTATAAGGTTTTATAAGGTGTTTTTAAAGGTTTTACAAGTTATTTTAAAGGATTTTTAAGGTTTTCCAAAGGTTTTACAAGATATTTTAAAGGTATTTAAAATGCATTTATAAGGTATTTATAAAGTATTTATAAGATTTTAGATACATAGAAATGTAGTTTGTGTATGTTTTAATAATATTACATACATATTTGGGTAAATCTTATATTTTTAAGAGCATTTTTTATAAGGTTTTAAAAAGGGGTATTTTTGAAAAATGTCATTGAAAAAGTTGCATTTTTGCAAAAGCCCCTTAAAATATTGTATTTTCTAAAATTAAAACATATTTGTTTATATATGTTGATATTTTGTAGCAAAAATTGTATGGTGAAAGAGAAATATTTCTAATTTTTTTAAATATTTTTTCTCTTTCACGAGGCAATTTTTGCTATGGAATATTTTCTTCTTGTATTTATATGAATCAATTAATTTATTGATTAGAAGACCAAAGAAATTAGAAAAATGAAGTTCCGTCATTGGTTGAAATTAGTATTTTTTTTATTTAATGAAAAAAGAAAAGAAAACAGATATTCTGCTGCAGAACGCCAATGAATTATAATGTTTTGCGTGTTCTCAAACGTTATAAGACATGGCAAATCTAACTGTAAAAATTGAATAACATCAAAACTAAAGAAAGAATTGTAGATCGTCTGCACATGATCAGTAGCTGCAGGTGCTCGTCTCCACCCTCTTGCATTCTTCCTCCTTTTCCTTGGAGAGAAGGGTTGGGTACACAAATTCCGACAGAAGCCGAAATAGGTTGTCAATAAAATCCTCATACCTACGGGTCGTAAGGCACATCATCATTATCTCTATTGACACCTTCGTGTATCCAGCAACGCTAAGTTTCAAATCGCTGCTTGATTTCGCCCAAACAAACTTATCACCATTCTTCTCTTCTCCCACACCTGTAATATTAATGTTATGCATATTACAATGTTTTCAAATAGTAGAAGTAGGGCTCTAGTAGATGTTCTGCAAAATCAACAAAGGCATAAATAAAATAAAAATTACACAAATATGTTTGTTCTTTCTTTAAATTAAAGAATTTACCTCTCCAATGCTTGAGTACTCTGGCTGGAAGAGAGGTATGGTAGCTGCAACATGATGCTTCTTCAATACTCTAAGTGTATCTTCAATGCTCTCCAATTTCACCACATCGTCGATGTACGCTAGGGTCAGGAAACTCCGCTCAAAACTTTTTTTGTAGAAGGTATAATCAAAGGGGCGTGCTGCTTCCGTTTTGATTTTGTTAGCTTTGTTCTCTCTAGAACGTGAATTTACTCTTGTGAAATCAACAAGATATTGATTCTAATACGTTGCAACCCAATCTCTTTCTAGATCTGCGTGATATGTTTGATGGTTTGATTGGAAGACTTAGAACTACAAACCCAAGTTGTAGATTTTTGCCTCGGAAGAATTTGGTGTCTGGAGATTTAAGTATGTTTACCACCTCACAGATTGATGTTCTTGATGAACACGGTTTCAGGAAACACAACAGTGTTGACAGAAAGAAGCTATGCATTTCCTGTACAATTTACCATGAACCAGTTGATAAATGTGACGAACCTGATATATACAGTAAATTAATATTCGATAAATTAATACCTCGATAAATCAATATATTTCTTCGGTCCCAAATTTGGTTTCGAAGTAATTAGTATATCGATAAATTAATAAAATATTTTAGTCCTAACTGTATTAATTTATAGAGGATTTACTGTATATACACGTCTAAACCAATAAATCGATATGTATCATGGATTTAGTTAAAATCGAGACGCAATAAACCGATATGTATCATGGATTTAGTTAAAATCAGAACGCTTGAAAGATCATGAATCCTTAAGTGGACACCTAATCACCGCCTAAGCTAACTTTTTAAACATTGGGTTTTCGCAAGTTTTGAATATGTTCACTTATGTTAAATTGCAGGTGTGATATTGATATAAGTTTGTTTTGTGAAGAGAAATTTTATTATAAATTGACAAAAATATTTTTTTGATAAAAGAATTATCAATTAATATTACAAAAAGATAAAAAGAATCATCAATAATTTGTATATTTATATGATCATTTTCCATCTTTGGTCCTCTCTCTCTTTCTCTCTCTCTCCAAAGTTACGTGTTTCTTCCTCTCAAGTTTCACTCACCCCATTAATTCGTTTATTTTTATTTTTATGTAACTCTCAGAATTTTATTAAAATTCCAATCCAATTTTATTTTGCATTTTCGAATATCTAACTATATTTCAATTAATTGCGAATTTCGTGAATTTCGTCTCTTTGATCAAGAAGACTCCAATTGCTCCACCCTTGGGTGTTGTGGAGTCAAGAAACAAACAAAAATCTCAGTAAGTCTCTCAGAGTAATCCAAATTTTGCTTAGGAAGCTTCATATTTCTTCAATTGCAGTAAGAATGTGAAACGTATAACCATTGATCCGTATCAGCTTTTTGTTCTTGATTTCAAAATTAGGGTTTTTTTTCTTTCATCGATCCTTATGGAATATAAGTCAATGGTCATTGGTTAATCATCATCTCAAATTGGTTAAGCATCATTAGCTTGAAACGAGTGAGATATAGTTCTATGTTGAACAATCTCATAATTAGCTAAGATTTGAAAGATTTTTAGCTTTGCAAATTGTTGAAATTAGGATCTACTTTAAGCAAGATCATATATATAGTTCTCTTATGTTTAAGAATCATAAACTAAGATTGATATTTAATAGATATGTTTGCTTTTCTTGATCACAGATTGTTTTCTTCAAGAATCACCAAAAACCTGTTTCATCAAGCATGTCGGCTAACAATGACGGTAAGTCTTCAACATTGTACTTATTTTGTCAATGATCTCATCCGTTTTGTCGCTGATTCTTGTTAGTCATAGTGGCAGGTAAAGTCATTGTGATTATGGGCGTAAGCGGCGCAGGGAAATCGTAAGTTGTTCTTTATTACTCTTCTGATTTGTACTAGATATTGATGTTTATTGTGTTGTTTCACTTGGTTAGTACCATAGGTAAACTGTTGGGGAAAGCTCTATCTTGTGATTTTCTTGATGCTGATGATTTTCATTCTTTATCGAACAGAGGTAACAAAATCAATATACTTTGACGAATTCGTTGGGAATAATTCATGTTTTAACACTTTCTTGCTGCTTATTGTTCAACTAGATAAGATGCGTCAAGGCATTGCTCTTTCAGACGAAGACCGAATGCCATGGCTTGAAAAAATACAAGAGAGTTTGCGAAAACGTTTACTCGATGGAGAAACCGTTGTTCTCGCATGTTCTTCATTGAGAAAACAGTATAGAGAAATCCTGAGAGGCTCTGATCCTGATTACGAACAAGGAAGCTATACGAGTTGCAAGGTTAAGTTTGTATTATTGGAAGGTAATGCAGAGGTGATCGCTGCTCGGTTACAGAAGAGAGCTTCCGAGGGAGAACATTTCATGCCTCTTACTCTTCTTCAGTCTCAGTTTGATCTGCTTCAAGCTGATGAATGTGAAAAGATATTCAAAATCAGTGTGATTCTAAGCCCTGAAGTTATAGTCAATACAATTCTTGAAATGCTAGGAAATTCTTTGAGAGAAGGTATATGAAATTCTCAGCACATTTGTATTATTACTATTCATCTTTGTATTCAACATATACAAATAAGCAAAAACTTACTTCCTGAGTATACAAGTTTATATGTACAATGTTTCATCATCTTCTACAATTTGATTTTAACATACAGTTGGTACTTGTTTTTTTTTTTTTGTTTTTGAACAATTGGTACTTGGTTTAGCTAATTAATTTTCTGAACAAAAAAAAAAAGTTTGAGCAAGTAATTTAAGAAATGGGCTTTACAGGCCCATAAACTCATAACCAGCATCCACGTCACATGTATGCCGTTTTCGCGATAGTAAACGGCAAAGCGTTCAATTGTGAAATAGCAAAACAGCATCACAGCTAGTATCTGCATTCACCGCCGAGGTTTTGTAGCCCTTGATCAGCTCTGTGTATTTTTGGCGGGAAAATTGACCAGAAAACCCTCGACGACAGAGATCAGCGAGAGGAGAGAGAGAAGTAGATTGAGAGGCGAGAGAGATAATGGCAGATGAAGGTAAGGAGGATACGGGAATGGATCAAGTGGAGGAAGATTTCTCAGTGTGGAAGAAGAACACACCATTTCTCTACGACCTTTTGATCTCTCACCCACTCGAATGGCCATCTCTCACCGTCCATTGGGTTCCATCGACGCCGAGTCCTTACGCGGCGGACCCTTACTTTGGTGTCCACAAGCTTATACTCGGGACTCATACTTCCGGTAGTGCTCAAGATTTCCTCATGGTCGCCGACGTCGTTACCCCGACACCAAACGGTGAACCTGGGTTAGGCGGCCCTAATCAGGATCCTATTATTCCTAAGGTATTTGATTTTTTGACGATATTTGTTGCTGATGTTTTACGCGCACCAAGTGTTCGATAAAATGACGAGCTGAAATTGTTAGAATCTTGTTACTGTCTTCGGGAAATGAATTGATAAGAACAAGATTAGTGAGTTTTAGGGTTTTAGATATGAAATTTGGACTCTTTGGTTTAGGATTTTGAGTTTTTGTATACTACTAAACCATGTTTCTTCAATTTCCTGATTTGTTTCAGGTGGAGATTAGACAGAAAATACGTGTTGATGGAGAAGTGAACAGAGCGCGGTGCATGCCTCAAAAGCCGACGCTTGTGGGTGCAAAGACAAGTGGCTGTGAAGTGTTTTTGTTTGATTACGCCAAACATGCTGCAACACCACAAACGAGTGAGTGTGATCCTGATCTGAGGTTAGTAGGACATGACAAGGAAGGGTATGGACTGTCTTGGAGTCCTTTCAAGGAGGGTTATCTTCTGAGTGGTTCACAGGATAAGAAGATCTGTCTTTGGGATGTTTCAGCTACACCGCAAGATAAGGTTTTGAATGCAATGTTTGTGTATGAGGTAAGCGGAGCAGTACAGTTGGTATCTTTCTCCTGTTTTCAGAAAATGGGGTTTGCTGTATCTGATTTACTCTTTTTGTTTTGTTTTAGGGACATGAAAGTTCTATCGCAGATGTATCATGGCACATGAAGAACGAGAACCTCTTTGGGTCTGCGGGTGAGGATGGCCGATTGGTGATATGGGACACACGGACAAACCAAATGCAACACCAAGTGAAAATTCACGAGAGAGAGGTAGAAAACCACCATCTTAATATCACTGCTTGTTTGAAATAATGTTTACTTAAATGACTTGGGTCTGATGTCGCAAGCTCATCTATCCTGTATTTACACAATCTCCCAATCAAATATTCCAACTGTATGACTATGCTTTCTTCTGTTTCTCAGGTCAACTATCTATCTTTCAATCCGTTTAACGAATGGGTATTGGCCACTGCTTCCTCAGACTCCACTGTTGCCTTGTTTGACCTCCGGAAGCTTAATGCGCCATTACATGTCATGAGCAGCCATGAGTACGTTTCCTTTACATTTTTTCATTGCCTCTGCGCCATCTATAAATTGTGTTACAACTAAATGTTGATACCTGTGGACACCTGTGGAGTGAGTAACTGTAAAGGACTGTTTGCTGTAAAATCCACCTTTTTAATGAAATATTCTGATTACAGGGGAGAGGTTTTCCAAGTGGAGTGGGATCCTAACCATGAAACAGTACTCGCATCTTCAGGGGAGGACAGGAGGCTGATGGTCTGGGACCTGAACAGGTATGTATCATCATCTACTTTGCAGAACTCAAAAACTTCGACTTTTAAATCTGAAGATTGTTCAACGTTGAGTAATGCTTCTTTTTTGGGGTTTACAGGGTTGGAGAAGAGCAGCTTGAGATAGAGTTGGATGCAGAAGATGGTCCACCAGAGTTACTCTTCTCTCATGGAGGCCACAAGGCTAAGATATCAGACTTTGCTTGGAACGAAAACGAGCCTTGGGTCATTGCAAGTGTAGCCGAAGACAATAGTCTTCAGGTGTGGCAGATGGCGGAAAGCATCTATCGCGATGAAAATGATGCTGAGGACATCAAAGAAGATATTACACAACAGTCATAAAAATGAAGAAATGATTTGGTCTCTCCATTACTTAAGTGTCTTATCTTGCTTTAGCCAGTTTCTGAAAGACAAGCTTTGCGTCTGTATTAGGACTAACATGATCAGTTCTGTTTGTTAATGTAACCATGTTTGGATTTTGTTGGTTTCCTATCATTCCTGTGTCACAAAATCGAATTTAGTCGCAAAATTCAACTCTAGAACTCCAAAGCCTGACAAAAGATTCATTGAATAAGGAATCTGGGATTGAATCATTGGCAGTAATTTAATAGTCATCCAGTCAAACTGAGCGTGCAACATATTCTATTTGGGAATCGTTCGTGTCTTTGTTCTTTTAAGCATAGTACTCCCCAGAACTCCATAGAGCATCAAGGAAAATCTCATACCTAATCGAGAATTAAGGCAAGGGTATAAGTCATTTCAGAAGCAAGAGACTCTACCAGACTAACGAAAAGTCAAAAACAACCAAGCTACTAATCGTCGAGATGGCTTCCTATAACTTACTTTTCCAAATGCAACATTCAATCTCTTCTACAAGAACTTAAAAAAAAGAAAGCTACTAAAGTACAAAACCAAATGGAAAACTCAGATTTAAATATTAACAAGTCTTATTTCTAGCTTCAACGAGCTCAACAAGGAAATGCAAAGAGATTAAAAAACTGATGATAGCACAAATGGACTTGAAGGAAGCTGGTGATGCAGTTGAACTCTACTACTTATTGGAAGAAAATTAACTACCAACTTGAAAATGGGGTGAATGATTGATAGTATCACATGATTGATGATACTTCAAACTGCTTTCGCTGCACGAGGCCCACCTGTTGCAAGATCAAAAACTATTAGTTCATAAACTAAATATACGCAAACCACAAGTTTAAACAAAAACGTTGAAGGAGCCTCAGAAATGATACAATTTCAGGAAAAGTAAAGTGACGATATGGAAGTAACTACGAAGAAAACCGTATAAAGATATAGTTGTAATGGGCAACCTCTAGGAAAAAGATCCAAAGGAACTAGAACTTCACCTTTTCTCTTATTAGCTCCCGATCCATTGACAGTGAATGTTCCAATCCCATTACTACAGACAGGGATCTCCTTGCCAGCTAAATTCGGATTAGCCAAGCACTCTAGCTGATCAAACTCACAACCATTTAGCCCTTGATCATTCATCGATCCACCTTCTCCATTATTCCCATTTTGAAGGCAGTACAAGTTATCAACATCGCATTGCATATTGCAAGGATGCATCATGTATGAGTAAGGCACGTTTGTAACCGCAGGCTTCTGATAAGGAAACGCACCAATCTCTCCATCAATTCTTCCTCTTATATCAACAAGCAAACACTTGAGCCTTGTAACCTCAGCTTCCAATACAGCTTGACCTTGCAACCTCTTTAACAACTGATTATTGACCGCCTTAAGCCTCATAACCTCATCCTCCAACGAAGCCGCTTTAGCCTTCTTCTTCTCCCTATACTTTCTAACCGCTTCTCTATTCCCCAAAGGTCTCTTCTTCCCTGAAGATTCCGATGTATCATCGGTAGAAACTTTATCCTCGCTCTGTGAAGGAAGAATCTTGGTGTGCACATGAAGACATGTGTGAGTATGTGTGTTCTCTGGTCCCGGAGGATTACAAGTATGAGTATGAGTACAAGCATGAGAATCCCTCAAAAGCTCATCGAAGAACGAATCCATCGAACAACTACTAGGTGGTAATTCACCACCCATGTTTGAATTCGAAAACTCAAGCTCACCGTCGTCCATTACTAAAAACCCAGTAGTAAAGAAGTAACCTTTGACTCTTGTGAGTGAATCTTAACCAAAAAGTATGAGACTTTGTGCTCAAAAACCAAACAACAACCTAATTGCAGAGTGAAAACACAATTCAAGCGATTCAGAAGATTGAATTATCAATATCTAATCATTGGATGATACTCAATTGAATGAAAAAAAATCGTACCTTTAAATGATCAGCAAGACGAAAGCTTTACGAGAATCGCCATTACGGCGAGAAGGGTTTTAGAGAGAATAAGAAATGGGGAACCCTAGAAGTGAAGAGGTGCAACGAACATTGATGATTGAAGAGTGTTATTAACAGATGGCATTATTTCCATGGCGGAAAGACATTGACGTACTAAAAGGGATTGCGAATTGCAGAAGATTCCTTTTTTTCCTAATTAATTTCGTATAAAAACTTTTATTTTTTGTCCCCAAAAATAAAAAAACTATGATTTGAATTTATAGTTCAAATTTTTAAAGAATCAATTACGGATTTGCCAATTTTTTGAATGACATTTGTGGATTTTGTTTTTTTAATAGTTTGTGGATTTTGCTAATTTTTAAACTATAAAAATATGATTTAACATGCGATTTATCCGTTATGTTTGAGTTTCGTCGGTTTCATTTGTTCTTAGGATTTAATATTTGGTATAAAATACGTATTTTTGCCAAAATATCGTAAATACGTACATTTTTAAGTGTTAACAAAATAGTAAATCCGTAAGATTTTAGTGAAAATGGCATTTTCAAAAGATTTAGATGAAAAATGGCAAAATCAACAATAATACATTTTTAAACCTGTTAAGTCAGCTGCAAAACTTTAAGAACACATAAAAGAAAAAAAATGGAACCAATTTTTTAAAAAATAGAATGAATTATAGGAAGTCACTAATTTAAGTTTTGGTTGAAGTCTTCTAATTGATATTTGTAAATAGAATGATGTCAAGATCTTCTAATGGATGATTATCCAATAGATTAACAGAAATTTGAGGATTAAAAAGTTTTACATCAGATCTCAATAGAATCATATAGAGATCATTAGCACACAATTTAAGAAGAGATTTAGAACTAAGACATCTCTAAAACACAGCCTCTACAAGTACGTGTTTCTTTTTAGACCCAAATCCAACAATGTGGTTTAAATAAACTCTTCCTTCCTTCACTGTAGCCGACGAGACTAACCGATGAACCATACCGCTGCTGAACCAACCCGTCACAGAAGCGGTTCTCCACCCGTCTGAACTCTCCACCAGTTTCGAAGACGAGCTACCTGAAAACACTCACATTCATTGGTATAAGCTTAAAAATAATAACTTCACTAAAGATGTTAAACATTACCTGCAACAACAATTTTGGTTGGAGACAACAACTCAAGCCCATCTCCAAACCTCAATGTACCACCAGAAACATCAATGACAGTAACTTGATTACTAACATCCCCATTGGTTAAGTCAATTTTGTATAAGTAACCAGAGAAAGTGTGAATAACGATAAGGAAGCCGTCGGGGTGATAAACAATGCCGTTTAGAGTAACAAGGTTATTGTACCATCCAGGTGGAGTAAAGAGAGAACTTGTAATAGTGTTCACAAGCTTTCCATTAACATCAACTTTCCAAATTTTACTAGCTTTTGCATCAGTCACATAAGCATTGCCTTGTTCATCAACGGCAACATCGTCTGCAAACGTTTTCTCTTTACCTACATTGATCATATATATTCATAGAATGTTAATCTATTATACAATTGTTTCATTCAAATTGAACATTGTTTGGTTTATTACTAAGACAGTAAGACCTAACCCACAATACATTATGAATAGTGGTGTATGAAGCTAAAACCTAATCTATAATGGATTATCTGGTACAGTTTTGGTTTCGGTTTGGATTCGTGTTTTAGTCAAATATGTATATCCTTAATTTTTAAAAAACTTCGGTTTTAGAAAGTTTTTTTTTTTGGTGCGGTTTGGATTCAGATTTGTTTTTTTAAATAAGAAAAAACAATAAAGGAAATAAATCCATTTAAACCAAATTAATATATAGTTCGGTTTTTGGATTGAGAATTTTGGTTTTGTTCAATTTGAATCGGAACATAACCGTAACTTTGGTTCCGTTCGGTTTAAATCGGAAAAAATCTCTAGCAAATTTTTTTTATATAGAAAATCACTAACGGAGAGTTGATGAAATCGGACGGTTAAGAATCTTACTATGACCACTAAGCTCGGCGAGGAAGAGACGACGCCACGTGGACAAATCATAGGCTGCTAAAGCACTATACCGGTTTCCAAGCAAGTCGGCGACGGCGACGAGGAGACGGTTCCTAACACGGTCGATAACGATTCCTAGGGAAGCGTTACCGGCGAGGTCAACATCTTTGACCAAAGTGACTTCTTCAAGAACGTCGTCGGAATCTTTAGGAACAATCTCGCCGACTCCGCCACCGTCCATGAAGGAGACGAGGAATCTCCGACCAACATCGTCCCATTTGGCGCACTCGCGGAAGAAGCCAGAGCTTTGGTAAGAGAAGACGTGTGTAGAAGGAACGGCTAGCTCTAAGGAGATGAGGTAAGCTATTGGAACGGCGGAGATTACGAGGAAGAGAGCGGCGGAGCATCGGCCGGAGCAAAACGACGGGGACATTTTTTTTGAAATAAGAGAAAAAACGGGTAGAGAGAAATAAATTGGGTACGACGAAGACCAACTTATGGAAAAGAAAGTTGGTGAGCGAACGTTAAACATTTGGTGATGCACACGTAGTGAAAACTAGTATTTGGTGGCCCGTTAAATGTATTATTGGGCCCAGAAAGTGTACTTTAATAAACACTTTAACATATAGTAGTGGGAGCTTTAAATTCAAATTCAACGTTTTTGTTTGTTTGCATGTTTTGTTCAATTGTTCCAAACTTGTAGCTTTCAATTTCTATAAAATGCTTAAGGGTTTCGTTTTTTAAAAGTAATAACTTGAATAATTGAAGAGTATTATTAACAGATGGCATCATTTCCATGGCGGACAGACATGGACGTACCAAAAGGGATTTCGAATTGCAGAAGATTCTTTCTTTCTTTTTTCCTAATTAATTTCGTATTATAGCTTTGATTTTAATTTATAGCTCAATTATTTAAATCTCTTCAGTCACTGCAAAATAGTTTTTTTTTTCCTTTAGTTTTAAAATTTGTTTGAGAGAAAGAATTAGTCTCGATGATACAGTCACCTGATGAATGACCCGTTTTCTCCAATCTGCTGGATGAGTTTGGTTTACACCGCGCTTATTTTCCTTTCTTCTCGCTTTCTCTTATTTCTTGTTTATGTAATGTTAAAGCGGACTGCTTAGCCCGTTCTTCTAGACTTTTATTCTCTGAAATATCTTTTGTAAACTCTTTTTCTTCTAATTGGACAACCAATCTAGGAGTTATTTATTAATTAATGTGTGGTTGACAAAAAAAAAAAAAAATTTGTTTGAGAGGAAGAAGAAAAAAAAAGGCTGTTGTTACTCTCTCCAAGCTACTGATTCACACAGAATCATTATCCTCCACGTTGGCCATCGCTAGGCTCAATTGTAATTCTGTTTTCGAATTTGGGTAAACCTCGTCGTCGAAACAATCTTCGTCTACTATCTTCACCCATTTCGTGACATCATCTTCTTCTTTTTTATCTTTTTTTTTTTTTTTTTTTTTTTTTTTTTTTTCTAAGAATGTAAATATTTCATAAAAATTAAAACAATTTAGGTTAATCAATAATTAGTAACCTAGACAAAGGATTCCATGGTAAAAAGATAAAAATACGGAACCATAAAACAAAACAAGTAACCACACTTTCGGTCCATCCACTCAACTATAGCGATGATACTACAGGAGTTGAATGAAGCGATGACGAATTTGTTGTTTTTCTCGGATGCGGTGCAAAAGGAGAAGGGCGACTGCGAATTATAAACGCCAAGATGCGAAAGAAATTTAGCACTAGAAGTCTTTTACATGAAGCCCGAGACCGAACTGTCAACGGTGTAGAACGTCAAACCCTCGATCACATTCTCTCTGCGACATGTGAGAGCGATTCTTAGATCATATCCATGAGCTTTACCTTGAACGGAACTTCAAACGCCAAATGAAGCCAACGATGCGTGCTCCCTCTACCAAGTTCATTACCCGAGGTCCGCCAGCGCAGAGCAAAGTTAACGTTATAAACAAATCACCACCACATCGAAAGCCATTAGCCTTACTACAACCTCTATATAGCCTTACTTCGTGACATCATCTTCGCCTCTTAGCAGCTTCAACATCTGCAGAAATGTTATTGGATCTGTTACTAAAAGATTAAAGAGGGCCGGTCCGAAGTTTCCAAATGTCCTAACAGAAAAATAGAATGTTTTTACTAATTTTTAATTTTTATGCAAAAAAAAACAACAACAATAATAAGATAAAGTTTTCATATTAAAAAATTCACAAAACAGTTACCAAATCTATAAACATTTCTTAAGAAAGAAAAAACACTTTTGTCATTGTTTAGGCTTTTTTACCCAAAACCAAAAATTTCACTAATAAAAAATAGTTTTTTTTTTTTGTCGTCAAGATTTATTATTAATTGCAAATTATGAGAACTGTTACATAGACGACTCTACAACTGACAATTCCTTCCGACCCTTACTAGATCCACGACAGACTACACTTCCTTCTTTGTGATCTTGATGAATACCTTCAATGATCTACGACCTGGCGACACTTCCTTCTATGCGTAGAATCCTGACAAACGGCTATAATTGTACATCGCTGGAGATCTCTTGCACACTTGTCTCCATTAATCTGCAAATTTGTTAATAAATCGCAATATCTGGGACTCGAACCCCAGACTTCTTGGTGTAGAAGCATTAATCAACCTTTGGTCAACCAATGGGCAAAGGGGAGTTCCACGATAAAAAAATAGTTCAACTTAAGAAATATTTTGTTAACTTAAAGCCCACGAATATAGTTATAAAAACCCATCAAAAATTGCACTATTTAAAACCCGATATTAAGTTTAGTTCTTGCTAAGAATTTTTGTGTTTTAGGGTTTGAGTAATAATGGATGCTGAAGATAGAATCAGCCGTCTACCAGATGAGCTTATTGGATGCATCCTATCCTTCATCTCCACAAAACAAGCAGCTTCAACCTCAGTGCTCTCGAAGAGATGGAGGAATGTTCTTGCTTTCGTTTACAATCTCGATCTCGATGACCACGAGGCTAAACGAAACAGGCACGGGGGTGAAACTTCGAAGAGATTCACGGCTTTCGTTTCAAACTTGCTTAATCTGCAAGGCGGTTCGTGTTTAAAGAAGGTCACTTTAAAGAGTCATGTTGGTGTTCGAGGATTTCTTGACCGAGCTCATGTTCAGAACTGGATATGTAATATTCTCGACCGTGGTGTTGTGGATCTTGATCTGGTCATCACTTTCCTTGGAAAAATTCCACCAGTGTTTACGTTGAACTTGATGAGCAAGACATTGGTTAAGCTGAGACTAGGAAGTCGGTTTATAATCAAGCTTTGTGATCAGGATGTTTCTCTTCCTATGCTTAGGAAATTATGTCTTTACTCAGTTGATTTTGATGGAGATAATAATTTCGTTGGAACACTTCTATCTCGTTGCCCTCTTCTGGAAGAATATTGGGCCTACTTGGGCTTTGTATATATCGACAAATATAAGTCGGTTTGTTGGATTAGGTTAACGCGCACTCTCTTGTATATAAGGCACTTGGCCGTCGCATATGATCAATAAGAAATACCTTTTACAACTACTAAGGTGTTCTTAACATGGTATCAGAGCAAACCTAAACTACAAAAGGGTTTGTTTCGATCTCTGTGATCTTGAAATTCCGCTACACATAAAATCTCTGTTCTTATTTTTTTCGATTTCTTGGACCTAAGATTCTGACTCTATTCCTAGTCAAATCTCTCTTGCGATGGCTACTGCTTCAAACACCTCGTCGGCTACTTCATCAGCTCTCACCGATGTGGTCACTGCAGCTCGTGTTGAAACTCGTCGCAGGATCTCACCGTATGATTTAACTTCTGGAGATAATCCAGGAACCTTGATTTCCAAGCCTTTGTTGCGTGGCCCTAACTACGACGAATGGGCAAACAATCTGAGGCTTGCGTTGAAAGCGCGAAAGAAATTTGGTTTCGCCGAGGGCTCTATACCACAGCCCGACGAGACATCACCAGACTTTGAGGATTGGATAGCGAACAATGCACTCGTTGTTTCGTGGATCAAGCTTACAATTGATGAAAGTTTATCCTCTTCCTTGTCCCACACTGATGACTCCCATGAGCTTTGGACACACATCCAGAAGCGTTTTGGCGTGAAGAATGGTCAGCGGGTCCAACGTCTCAAGACTGAATTGGCGAATTGCAGACAAAAGGGACTCGCTATCGAAGCTTATTATGGGAAACTAACTCAGCTGTGGAGGAGTCTTGCCGACTACCAACAGGCAAAGACAATGGAAGAAATAAGAAAGGAACGTGAGGAAGACAAGCTTCACCAGTTCCTTATGGGACTTGACGACTCTCTGTACGGCGCCATCAAATCAGCTCTTCTCTCTCGGGTTCCTCTTCCAACGCTTGAAGAAGCGTACAACTCTCTGACCCAAGACGAAGAATCGAAGCTGCTGGGCCGTTTGAATGATGAAAGAAGTGACGGAATGAGCTTTGCGGTGCAAACCACTTCTTCACGAAATTTCGGAGCCGATTACAAAGGAGGAAAAGTAACATGTTCAAACTGTGGTCGAAATGGACATGTGGCTGAGAATTGTTTTAGGCGAATTGGTTATCCCGAGTGGTGGGGAGAAGGAAAACCACCTCGTAATAAAAACAGAAACAATTCGTTTAAAGGCAATCAGAATTCCGGTGGTGCTGGGCGTGGAACATTGACGATTTCAGCAGGCTCGACGATGAGCAAAGGACCTGAACTAGCTCGTGCAAATCATGTCTTGACAACGCCTGCTGCTGTCTCTGGTTTCGGGCTTAATGTTGCTGCATTGCCAAATAATCCACCATTAACGGATGCAGACCGGGTCGGGATTAGCGGTTTAAGTGATCCGGATTGGAAGCTGCTCCAACACATGCTTGCGGAGAGGAAAGCCACTTCTACACAGCCACTCTCTGGTAAGTATTTTTTTGAATCTTGGGTGATTGATACAGGAGCTTCAAATCACATGACGGGTACGCTTGATTTTTTGATTGATGTTTGTGAAATGGCACCACTTCTAATAAAACTTCCAGACGGTCGATATACGTCTTCTACTAAATATGGACGTGTTGTTTTGGGTTCTTCTCTACGGCTTCAGGAAGTTCTTTTTGTTGATGGACTTAAATGTCACCTTATATCAGTCTCACAGTTGACTAGAGATAGAGGATGCGTGTTTCAGATAACTGACCGGGTTTGTATTGTTCAGGATCGCATCACGAGAACGCTGATTGGCGCCGGTGAGCAAGAAAATGGGCTATATTTTTTTAGAGGAGTGGATACAAAAATGGCGACGGTTCAATCAATGGAGTCATTACCAGCTGACGTTTGGCATCGTCGTTTAGGACATCCTTCTTCTAAGGCTTTGGAGATGTTGCATTTTTCTAAATTTAGTAGTAGTAGCTTTGATTCCACGGCGTGTGACATTTGTATTCACGCTAAGCAGACGCGAGATTCTTTTCCTTTGAGTAGTAATAAAACCACTTTTCCATTTGAATTGGTTCACTGTGATCTATGGGATCCTTATCGGACATCGGCTATTTGCGGTTCTAAATATTTTCTTACTATCTTGGACGACTACTCTCGTGCGGTCTGGATATACCTACTACCATCTAAGAAAGATGCACCAACTCATCTCAAGAATTTTCTTGTGTTAGTTGAAAGACAATTTTCCGCCAAAGTCAAAACTATACGAAATGATAATGGATCCGAATTCATTTGTTTATCCGATTACTTCATGGCAAATGGTATCATTCATGAGATTTCTTGCGTTGGAACTCCTCAACAGAATGGTAGGGTCGAACGTAAGCATCGTCACATTTTAAACGTAGCCCGTGCTCTCATGTTTCAAGCTGATTTACTGATTGAATTTTGGGGATATTGTGCTCTAACCGCTGGTTACTTGATCAACCGTACTCCCACTGCAATTCTTAAAGGAAAAACGCCATTTGAGCTCATCTACAATCGGCCACCACCTTTGAATCATCTTCGTGTTCTTGGCTGTCTTTGTTACGTCCACAATCAAAAACACGGCGGTGATAAGTTTGCACAACGTAGCACGAAATCAGTTTTTCTTGGGTATCCTTTTGGAAAGAAGGGATGGAGAGTTTACAACATTGAAACTGGGAGAATTTCTGTGTCAAGAGATGTTATTTTTAGTGAATTTGAGTTCCCCTTTGCGAATTCTTCACTGTCTTCTCAATTCTCTCCGCCGGAGACTTCTTCTTCTCCGCTTATCTTTGATGATTTTGACGACAGCTCTCCGGAATCTGTCGCACCACCTACTGTGATTCCGTCATCTTCTTGTCAGCTTGAGAACACGAATTTGCAACCTGTTACTACTACTACGCAGCCCGAGACTGAATCTCCAACAGAAACTTTGTCTACTGAAGTCTCGTCGTCCTCCACTTCTTCCGATGATGAACAACATAGTGATTCTGAAATTATCACGCTACCAGTCACGACTGAATCATTACCTGTATACGGACCTGAACCTGAACCACTTGGTGTTGGTAAGCGACCGAAAAAATTGCCTACAAAACTTTCTGACTATGTGTTGATGTTGCTTCACGATCCGCCACCAACGAATACTCCTTACCCGTTGGACAATTTTGTTTCATCTTCACAGTTTTCTCCCACCTATCAAGCATATCTCGCAGCTATTAGTTCTGGATATGAGCCTCAACACTACAAAGAGGCTGTCCTTGATGAAAATTGGCGATACGCTGTCAAAGATGAAATTGTAGCTCTTGAAGACAATGGTACATGGACAGTTGAAGATCTTCCACCCGGAAAGAAAGCTCTCGGTTGCAAATGGGTCTTTCGCCTCAAGTTCAATGCTGACGGAACGCTAGAACGTCATAAAGCGCGTCTCGTTGTTCTTGGCAACCATCAAACCGAAGGTATTGATTATGAGGAAACTTTTGCACCTGTCGCTAAAATGATTACAGTAAGAGCATTTCTACAACAAGCAGCTTCTTTGGACTGGAAAGTTCACCAAATGGACGTCCACAATGCGTTTTTACACGGTGACCTTACCGAAGAAGTTTATATGCAATTTCCTCCCGGGTTTCGTACTGATGACAAAAGTAAGGTTTGTCGCCTACGGAAATCTCTATATGGACTTAAGCAAGCACCGCGTTGTTGGTTTGCTAAGCTTGGTGCTGCTTTGAAGAATTTTGGCTTTGAACAAGACATGTCAGACTACTCTTTGTTTATACTTGCGACCAATACTACTCGTCTTCACGTCCTTGTCTACGTCGACGATTTGATAATCACAGGCAGCTCTCTCCATGTCGTCAACGAGTTCAAGGCCTATCTTAGTCAGTGCTTTCATATGAAAAATCTCGGACTTTTGCGTTACTTCTTAGGCATTGAAGTTGCCCGCAGCCCCACGGGGATCTATTTATGCCAACGCAAGTATGCCCTTGAAATAATTTCAGAGACTGGTCTTCTCGGAGTAAAGCCAGCCACCTTCCCGCTTGAGCAACATCACAAGCTAGCTCTCGCAACTGGTGATCAAATGTCGGAGCCGTCCCGTTATCGTCGCTTGATTGGTCGGTTAATATATCTTGGCAACACACGACCGGAGCTCTCCTATGTGATTCATATTCTTGCTCAATTTATGAATGCCCCGAAACAGGACCACTGGGAAGCTGCACTCCGCGTTGTTCGTTACTTGAAACACAGCCCGGGCCAAGGCATTCTTCTCAAAGCTAACACGCCTTTGGTTCTTACAGCTTGGTGTGATGCAGATCACTCGTCCTGCCCTATTACTAGTCGCTCACTAACAGGATGGTTCATTCAACTAGGAGATTCTCCATTATCTTGGAAGACACGGAAACAAGATGTTGTGTCACGATCGTCTTGTGAGGCTGAATATCGCGCCATGGCAGACACAGTGCAAGAACTTCTTTGGTTGCGAGAATTACTTCCGGCTCTTGGTATTGAATGCTCAGCTCCTATCACTCTCAATTCCGATAGCTTATCGGCGATCAGTCTAGCTTTGAATCCTGTCTTTCATGCTCGTACTAAACATGTCAGGAAAGATGTTCACTTCATACGAGATGAAATCAATCGCGGGGTTATTGTCACTAAACATGTCCACACAACATCTCAGCTCGCCGATATCATGACCAAAGCTTTGGGTCGTAAAGAGTTTGAAGCATTTTTGGTCAAGCTGGGTGTGTGTAATCTCCACACGCCACCTTGAGGGAGGGTATTGGGCCTACTTGGGCTTAGTATATATCGACAAATATAAGTCGGTTTGTTGGATTAGGTTAACGCGCACTCTCTTGTATATAAGGCACTTGGCCGTCGCATATGATCAATAAGAAATACCTTTTACAACTACTAAGGTGTTCTTAACAAAGAATTTGATTTTGAGGAATTGATATCTGAGGAGCACCATCCGGTACAAATACAATGGTCGTCTCCATCTCTAAAGAGACTACGAGTCCGATTTAATTATGACCGGATAATTTCATTTGATTTTCCCAATCTTGCCTTCTTTGAGCTTTCGTATGAACTTGGGAGCATGTTTCTAGATGTTAAGTTGGATTCCCTCGTTGAAGCTAGACTCGATCATATGTTGTACCGAGGGGGAATATCGGTAACAACATATGGAATTGGTGTTCACGTTGATATGATACATCTCATCAATGCAATCAGTAACGTTAGGGTCCTTCACTTATCTAGTGTTTTCCTTGAGGTCAGTCTGCTACGTACTTCCTTTTACATTCTTCTCACATTTGTTGCTCAATTAAAAGAAAAGAAAAAGATAAACCATTTAGGAGCATGAGAGTCGCTGTGGTCAGACCCGGTCCTTCACACAAACCCAAGATACATTGGTGTTGGGCCACCAATTTTTAAAACAAATTTTGTAGAAAAAAATCTATTTTAAAGGCCCCAAAAATCAAACAATTATTATTCAAAGGCCTCAAAAGTCTTCCTACAAAAAAAAAGGCCTCAAAAGCCTAAATATGTGCTGCAAATAAACTCAAAGTACCCATCGATATACATCGCCTAAATATGTGCTTCGAAGAGTTTCACCAAAATGCAAGATCCAAGTCATTCTTAACCAAAAAACTAGTGAATAGTAATTCGTCTATGGTTTTTCCAAGGCCTTTTGAATCACTCATGATTTTTTATGTCTTAGTATTTGGTGTTTTACAAAACATGAGATACTGAGTGATTAATTTCAGTCTATTTTTATTTTTCTTGCCAAGAGAGTCTTTTAAACCCTCCTCTACAACCAACATTACGAACTTGAACCAACCGGAAACTTTTGAATTTAATTTTTAATAATGACTAAAATTTGTGTCATATTTGACAAGAGAAACTTACTATAAAAATGATTAATGGTTATGAAATAACCCGTGTTCTAGCTAGCCAAGTCGTAGCAATTGTGCCTTACTAATTCATGAAAATTAATACCTTATATCTGATTTTTAAAATTAGACATTAGTTTTAGTCACGTTAAAAACACTTTTCCGACAATGGTTGCAAAAAGCCAAGTCGGAGAAGTGATATATTGAGTGCAGATACAGTGAGAGATGACGTGATCCTCAAGTGAACTGGAGACACTACGCACAAACCCTAATTAAGACTGAAGCTCCTGAGAGGAAGAAGAAGAAAAAAGGCTGTTATTACTTCTCTCCAAGCTACTGATTGACACAGAGTCATTATCCTCCACATCGATCATCGCGAGGCTCAAGTGTAATTCTGTGTTCGAATTTGGGTAAACCTCGTCGTCGAAACAATCTTCGTCTTCTTCTACTATCTTTACCCATTTCGAGACATCATCTTCGCCTCTTAGCAGCTTCAATATCTACAGAAATGTTATTGGATATGTGACTAAAAGGTTAGAGATCTTGGCACAATTCATGGGTAAAACAGAGGATCCAACATTTAAAATTAGGTTATAAGTCTGCAAAATTAGAGTAATTAACCTCTCTGATATTGGGACGATAAGTGGCTGCTCTTGTGAGACAATGTGTAGCAGCAAGAACCATCTTATGAAACTGATCCTCATCGAAAGTCCCAGAAATATTCGGATCCAAGAGCTCTTTTGCATTGCCTTTTTCGATCATTGGTTTTGCCTGCAACCCAAGTAATCTCTTTTTAAGTTTTCCAATGACAATTGCTTATACTACACGTAAACAAAACCAACACTTACCCACATGACCACACTCTCTTGTCCTCTTGGGCTATCAGATGAGATAGGAGTTCTTCCTGAAATGAGTTCAAGCAAAACTACTCCAAAGGCATATACATCGACTTTATCGCTAACTTTTCCATACATAAAGTACTCAGGAGCAAGATATCCAAATGTCCCCACCACATCTCTTTGTATCGTGTATAGACAAGACTTTGATCCCCACATCGAAAGACCGAAATCCGAAAGCTATTCTCGCAGAAATAGATCCGTTAAAGGTCAAATCTTTATGAGTTCTTAAATAGATTTACAAGTTCTCAATAGTTTTTTGATACCTGAGGTTCGAACTCATCTGAGAGAAGAACATTTGAAGATTTGACATCTCTGTGGATCACAGGATTAGAACATTGGTTATGGAGATAATCAAGAGCTTCCCCTAACCCAATTGCTATCTTGAATCTCTCTTCCCATCTCAATACATGCTTACCTGCAGAAATTGAATCATTAGTGAACTCTTTATGAGATTGTGTGTCAAGATGTTTAAGAGAATAAAGTAGTATTGTGCTAACCCTGAAGAGTTTCCTCCAAACTCCCTTTGGATGAGAGATTGTAAACAGAGATTAGATCGTTGTAATGAACGCATACACCAATCAAAGGAGAGATGTTTGGGTGACTCAAAGAAGATATTATGCTCACTTCATGAACAAACTCCTTCACTGCTTCTTTTACAGATGGTCTCAAGATCTTCACCGCCACGGCTTTTCCATCTTCAAGAAACCCTTTGTACACTTCGTTACATCCTCCTTTTCCGATTAGATTCTCTGTAATCGAAAAAAGAATCCGATTAAGTGGCTGTTAACAAGATAAAACAGAGTAGTTAGTTAGTACCTGAAGAGAAATTTGATGTTGCTATCTTGAGAACATCATAGCTGAACCATCTGTTTATTTCCTTTAGTATGTCTTTAAGTTGTTTATCGAAAAAGCTCGGTTGAGAAGTCATATTCGGATGATGTGGAAATCGTTCAGGCAAGCTCATGACCCAATTGACAACTGATATTTTCCTAGTCTGATGCTGAACCATTGAAGTAGCTAAAGTGGTTGTTCTTAGCAATGGCCAGCCCGGTGTCTGGTCTACTACCTCTACCGATGGAAGAGATAGCGATCTTCCTGAAATCTTCCTCTTCTCTTGACCCGTTGTTTTCGCAAGCTCTTTGCTTTTAACCGTCGATTCTTCGGATTTCAGTTCGCTTTCTTTGTCTGAAAATCCATCAGCAAGTTCAGAACTTGTTCTTGAACTCATCTTTTGAGCTGCAAGAAGAATCAAACCCATTTCTGGTAAACCGATTCGAGTTTGAAGAAAGTTATATAGATTCAAAGATTCTGGTTGTAAAGAGAACCAACGAACCAAGAGGTAGTTGGTAATGGTTGGAACGTCTAAAGACTATACTCCCTCTATGGATGGCCAAAACATCGGTTGTTGAGGGAAGCTCTTTTGCGCAGCCTTTAGCTATTTTTAGACTAATAAAATTATCTAAAATCAATAAGAGATTATCAAGAAAATTAAATAAGTTTCTGCTTAAAGATTTTCTCACCTTAATTTTCTTTGTTGTTTAACTCCAACAACAACTGACATGGCGTTGTATCTCTTTGCCTCTTTAACTATAACCCCTAGAACTGAATTTCCCTTCATAACTTCTCCTTTGAGCTCAATCTGTTCTCAAAAACCAAATATTCTCTGTTACACAAAATCTTGTCTTTACGCGAACTAATCCCGGAAAAAAGAACTAAATATACCTTCTTTGTTGAGCAGAATTCACTGTAAAGATTCAAATACCGATCAAGCGATGACTTGCTTTTCAAGGCACGGTCTATCAAATCATAAATCAAAATCTAGTAAATAGAAACTTCATAAGAACAAAACAAGAAGGAGAAGGAGAAGAGTAAGAGCTTACAAGAAGTAAAACAAACATGGACAACAACAACAAAATCTCCATGTTCTGCAACTTCTTCAAGTGCCCATTTCAAGATCTCTTTGCCACTTTCATCAATTCGAATTCCAACCAATACAATATTCCTCTGCTTCACACTTACATGATCCACTTTTCTGTCTTTCTCCACTGCCATTTTTCTGTTTTGCTCTCAAAACTTTTTTTTTCTTTGTGAGAAGAACTAATACAAAATGCAATTACAAAGTAATCAATGGGTTATCAATATTATTACAAAAAATCCAAACTTTATGTTATTCTCTAAATAATTATTTTATAGGGAGGTTGAAAGATAGAAAAATCAGAAACTTGATGTTGCAACAACTCTCAGATACAAACAAACAAAAAATTCCAGAGTATTGAGAGAGAGACACTTGAAAATTCAAAGGAGATTTGATTAAAAAAAATAAAATAAAAAGAGTTTGATTTTTAAGAGATACACGATGAGCATTAATAGACAACATAGTATCACCTAAATCCTTTGTATTTTATCATTAAATTTTGTCTTTAGGACATAAATAAATTGATAGTTTTGCTGCCATGTGCCATCAGTATTTTGTACCTGCCCTGCCACGACTAATAAAACCAGATTGACACAAATAGAATTATCAAATAAGAAAGTGAAAAAACTTACATTGGAGGACCTGAAATACGTAAATGCTGATCTATCTTCTGGAGAAATTTAAGAAGATTGGCTTTATTTTGATTGATTTTTTTTATATAGTGAAGATAAAAATGATATGATCAAAGAAGAAGAAAGTGTCGGTGAGAAGAAAGAGATAGTATGATTGAGCGAAGCCAAGAAAAGGGTCCAGTGAGCAAAAGAAGACAGGGGACCAATTTTGTTTTTCCGATTTACTTCCTTTTTTTAATTTTTAATTTTTCAATTTTTTTTATAAAGGTAATATTTAAGGGAAAAGAAAGGTGAATTAATGAGGGCTTTTTTTTGTGTGTTGTTGTTGGTTTTATATGAATATAAATGAGTTGGTTAGGAGAAAGTGGCAAGTTTAGCGGGAAAAGGCATGAAATTAGGTGTTTTAAAAGGGCCAAGTCCCAAGTGAATATGTGTGGTCACCGGCTATTTCGGGCTTAGAGCGTAACCAAGACGACCAAAGAGCCTTGAAAGCTGCCACTTATGGCACGGAAACGGCTAGATAAAAAAACAGAAGAGAAAAAAAGAAAAAAAGAAAAAAAAAACTGGTTTGCGTAGAAACTTTCTCTTTAAAGAAATAAAGTAGAGTTATTGAATATGTATATCAGCTTTTTTTTTTTTTTGAACAACGGAATATGTATATCCGCTAACAATGTCTAATAAGTTAGAAAGGTTTTCGAAAAGAATGTGACATAAGAATCACGTTTTGACCACATATTGTATTATCAACTTCCAATAATTCTTTTTTTTTTTTAACATCTAACAACCAATAATTCATTCGACACCTATTCTGAAAAAAATTATCGTGTTATTTTTAATAAAATAACTAGATAACAACCCGCACGATGTGCGGGATGAAGTGATTCAAGTAAAATTATTGATTAAAATTATTATTCGGGATACAGGATCCGTTTATGTAAAACGAAACATCTTACAATTTTTTTTTTGTTTTAATCAAATTTGGGACTATTTCATATAAGAATATGTTTTACCCGTGAAATATTTGA